TATTTCCTTCTACTGCCTCCTGCAGAAATAGACAAAGATTCAATTATGTATTTATGCTGAATCCCACTGCTCCCCTCAAAATCTGAAATTCTCTCTCTCCCCTACAGCCCCCTCTATAGTCTAAAACCTACTCCAGAAAATTGGCAAACATTCTGAAGAAGTTTTTGTTGCCATGGTCAGTAGGAGAGGAAGAGGAATAATGTCTTGATTCTACTAGCACAGGATATCAAGGTGCATCATGATCTTGGTCATGTACAATTAACATCACCTTGTTTGCAAAGCAATTCATTTGTTTGTTCACTGTAAGGAGTAAGACTGCTCCAGAAAAATCCATGAGTTAAATAATAATCTTAGAATTGCAGAGCTGGAAGGGAGCCTATGGATCATCAAGTCCAGCCCCTTGTCAAAGAGGCATAGTAGGTAACTGAGCTCCCAACTTCTGGCTCCACAGCCAGATACCTAAGCTATTGAGCTATTTAGCTCATTATATTCCACCCTTGCTGAATTGTTCAGAATCAACATGTGATTAATTATAAACACAACAGCTGAAATTCTGTTGTCTTTGGGTAATGTAAAGTTATGCTTTCATAAGCTTTCCAGATGTTACACCTGGACATTTAGGATCCGGCAATAAAATTGTGCAATCAGCTGCATGGCTCCCTTTTAGCCGATTGTGCAGCAGGCATGTGGAAGTGCATTGTGAATAGCACTTTTACCTTGCTGCCATTTTCAGTGCTGTTGTTGCACCTTCATGTTGTTAATGCACAGCAGCGCAACAGGACTTCAGCCCATTAGTAAAATTCAAAGTTGTTCTTTCTGCTTGTGCTAGAGGGGCAGACTTGAAGGTCAGGTGGAGAAGAAGCCTTCATTAACAGAAACACAGTAGTTTGGGTCTGTCCGATATGTCAATGTTATACTACCTTATTTTCCCGAAAATAAGACAGGGTCTTGTATTAATTTTTCCTCCAAAAGCACATTAGGGCTTATTTTCAGGGGATGTTTAATTTTTTTTCATGAACAACAATCTACATTTATTCAAATACAGTCATGCCATTTTCTTCTGGTTGCTGCACAGTGGTAGAAGGTGGAGTTTCACTTAATTGGGGCTTATTTTGGGGGTAGGGCTTATATTACGAGCATCCTGAAAAATCATACTAGGGTTTATTTTCAGGTTAGGTCTTATTTTCAGGGAAACAGGGTAGATTTTTATCAGTTGATATTTCCTGAGTTGTGCAGTACCTTGCAACAGTCTTAGTCTGGTGCCATTTCATACATTTCAAATGAAACAATGTTTTCTAACTGATAAACACAGAATATATTACTAAACAAAGACCTAGATATTTTAGTCTTCATGGGATTATGTTTGTTAAATCTTAATTATATCCTATAGTTCTTCACTGACTCTTCCATTGTGCCCCATCTCAATCATTTTCCCTCAGCCATGAGAAATGTTCTTGTTCTGTCTTTGTTGCGAAACTATACAGATGGTTAGCAGCCATTCCCATTTTTCTAAATCTCTCTCCCTCAAATCAAATTTCGATCAAGTATATTCAATAAACAACATAAATATGGCAAGAATTTGTAACAGACACTGACAGGGCAAAAACAAAAGGACTGTTAGACCCTTAACACTTAACATGTATCTATCTCTGTGTGACTTTTTGAGAATACAGTCCTCTTCTTCAGACACTTCTCTTGCTGAAATAGTGCAATACTTAGTTCTTGTTGCCAAAACAGATTCAAAAGCCTACCTCTCTGATAGCTGCCATTTTGGTTGAGTTTCCTTAGCCGCTTTTGAATGCTGGAGTCTAGAATTTGCTAGCCATGCAAACAGAATCTGCTTGCTTAGCCTCATCTTTCTCGACTGAACATAGAGATTTTGGTTTCAGGCACTGATTCTCTAATTGTGGGCTTGGAGATATGGACATTCTAGTCCAATGGTTCCCAAACTTGGGCAACCCAAGTAGGTGCCATGTATACAACCTGCAACTCATTAGAGGGAAAGTGGAATATACATGGCAATAATAAATACATACAGTTCAATGTAGGTAATTGTGAAGTTATAAACATAAAATCAGATATTCTCTAAAGCTGTGGTTCTCAAACTTGGTGTTCTTGGGCTGCAACTCCCAGAAACCCCGGTCAGTACAGTTGGTGGTGAAGGCTTCTGGGAGTTGCAGTCCAAGAACATCTGGGCTACCCAAGGTTGGGTATCACACTCTTCTAGATCAGTGGTTCTTAACCTTGGGTTACTCAGGTGTTTTTGGACTGCAACTCCCAGAAGCCTTCACCACCAGCTGTGCTGGCTGGGGTTTCTGGGATTTGCAGTTCAAAAACACCTGAGTAACCCAAGGTTAAGAACTACTGTTCTAGATAATAGGCTTTTTATTGCCTGACCTATCAAGCAAAATGCAACCGCTGATCCTTAAATGACCTGAATACCACAGGTTTTTTTGTTTGTTTGTTTGTGCATCCAAATAAAAGTAAATGAAGAACAGGAGATTAAAAAAAATCAGCTGCAGCTATTCATGACAAAATATTTTATACAACCAAAACAAACTATGATCTATGTGGTTCACCTTGTCTCTTGTGCCTTCCTCCAAATTTTCCATTTGGTATTCACATCTGATACTGCCTGGACTTCTGTCACTTCATTCAACCAGCAAACAAAAAAACCATGGGCAAATAAACATATTGCCCCATTTTTTTAAAAAAATGAAATAACCCTTTGCGTTAGCATGAATTTCATTATTCAAAATCCATTTGAAGAAATCCAAAAGCATTCCTGGGGCAAATACCAAGAGCTGACCAATGACACTGCAAGGTTAATAGAACTGATTTAATAATCATATTAAAAATATTCGTGTTTCAAAGAAAGTCTACTGCAAATCTGTATTTTATTAAACTGCTGAACACTGCAGAAAGATAGCCTTACATACTAAAATTATGCTTTATGGGATTAAAATGTTAGGATCATAGACTCCGTAGAGCAGAGCAAGCTTGAAAATGAGCTAGTGTTAGAAGAATGATTCTCTAAACCCTTGGGTGCAGCTTAGACTATACAACTTTTGTCCTTTCTCATCCTTTGTTTTCTTTCAGACCACCTTTTGACCCTGAAAACTGCTGTAACTGCAACTCTTTTGAGATAAAGTGAAGTAATATGTTGATGATATGCTTCTTAGGTTGCTATGTTACAGTGATTATCTAATTAGCCACCTGCCTGAAGTGAATAATAATGGCAGAATTTAAACAAATCGATAAAATACATCCAATCAGTTCTTGGCAGCCCTTTATGCAAGTTTTATAAACACTGACTTAGAAAATAACAATTCAAAAATATGCTTGGGCAGCTTCACACAGGGCTGGTACACCGTAAATGCTGACACACAAGACAATCTTTTAAGTGAGTCCATTTAATTGGGCTAGAAAGCAAATTCTATTATCTGAAAGCGTTGACAAAATTACGTTAATATAATAAAACATTAATGCTGGTTTTTGCATCTCTGAAAGCAAAATATAAGCTACAAAAGAGGACAATTCTGCAAGCACAATGATTGTACAATTTCTACAACGTTCTGGCTTGGACATATTCAAAAAATAAGTATAAGACTAAGGCATGAAAAAAGTTTACCTTAGCTCAGCAGAATATTTTATAAATATTTATCCTGAAGATTTATGTCCTTATGGCCCAAACAGCTACATGATGGCTAACAAAGTAAAATAAGCACTATCATAGAAATGTAAAGTTATATAAAGGAAGCAAACAAACAAATCAGCAACACAAGGCAAAAAGCTGTCTGAATTTAAAGCCAGCATAGCTGTAGTCCCCAAATTCGAAATCTCTTATGTTTATTGGCTTATATGCCAATGTTTATTATTTAACCAATGCTTACAAGCCAATAAACATAAGGGAACACGGGCTAAGTTTCCTGGAGGATGGACTGCTGGCAAGTGATGGGTTGCACCTCAGGGGAAGATCTAACATAACTTCATTCTCAGAGCTTTTGCAGAGCAAGAAGGGTGAGCAGCCAGGGAGACTGTAGAGCAGAGATCCACAACTCCCAGTCCGTGGCCTGAGCCGGACCGGGCCTCAGAGACAGACCCCCCTTCCCACACGCACTCACTCCCGCACAGCTGATTTGCGCATGCGTGCGTGCTCTAGCACGCCCATGCAAGCACTGCACCGCTGTTTGTGCATGCGCCTGCCCACATGAGTGTTACGCTGCTGTTTGCGCATGCGTGTCTGCACAAGTGCCACACATGCGCAGGAGAGCGGGGGTGCTCTGCCTTCCCCAGCTGGTCCACGGGGTGAAAAAGATTGGGGACCCCTGCTGTAGAGGGAAACTATGATGTGCAATAGGAAGAAAAAACAAATACTGTAACCCACAATACTACAGTAAGCTGAAAAATACAACCAAAATAAATTCTACAGAGCCCTGCAAATGAAGCAGATGTCAAAGTTTATTTCATGAGAAAAGAAAATGTTCAAGAAATTGAGAGACAAATTAGACCTTGCCTCTGTAAACAGGCTTCCTTCAATCACGAGGCTTAGCTTCCTACAGTCAGGAGACTTAGTTTTCTCCTATCATGAGCCTTACGTAACTGATGTCAGCTGATGCTGAAGAAACCAATTGGAACACACCTCCTTGGAGGTGGAGCCTGTAGGCAGTGCTCAGATTCAATAGGGATGCATAATATCCGAGCATTCTGAGCCTGAATACTCAATGCTACGTTTTCTTAATTTGTAGTTAGAAAAAGGGGGGCATCCTACAGATCGAAAAATACTATATATACTGTTTTTTAAGTGTTGTAAGCTGCCTTGTGTCCTTTTAAAGGACAAAAACAGGTTAAGCTTATTTTAAATTAATATTTTTTAAAAAATAAACTAATAAAATGTAAAAACAGAAATGCCAAGAGAATGAGTTGTGCATACACAGTGCTGTTACAATGGTTTTTTTATTGCTTTAAAAAATCTGAGGAAAAAATAATATTCTACTTACTTGGAAATCTTTTTCCTCTAGAATCTCCTTCTTCCATCTGACTAAGAAGGCAGCACAGACATATAAGTGGAAGTGAGAAAACCCCTCTGGTTCAGACTGTTAAAAAAAAAAAGTAAATATGAGATCAAGTGTAAACAGGAATGCTACAGCATTTTTAAAATGGCATTTTGCTACTTTGTAGCTACCTCAAGAGTAATCCAGAACCAAACTTTCTGCTGCATTTTAAAAATAATCATTTATTAAATTTACTTTCAAAACTTTCAAAATAAATAAATAAATAAATAAATAAATAAATAAATAAATAAATAAATAAATAAA